TACCTTGCAATATAGACTGTAGCAGGCAGTAACGGTGCTGATTTCTTATAACGTGTCGCAGATATTGCAACTTTATGTGTTTGATCGTAAACACAATCTCTGGTTCCTTCTTTATTTTTCCTAGAACTTCCTTGTTCGTGATCCTTGCTGTCCATGATATTTTCAGCATTCTTCTATAAAGCCACATCTCAAATACTTCAAGCTTTTAAATAGTGGTGTCTGTAAGCGTCCATGCCTCCGCCCCATACAACAACACAGAGAAAACATAGCATCTCAAATGTCTCATTTTTGTATCAAGGGATATGTTGTGACTTTTGAAGATGGCGCTCATTTTGTTAAAGACCGTTCTTGCCTTTCCTATGCGGCACTTTATTTCCTGTAAATTGCTCCACTGTTCGTTAATAATAGTTGCCAGGTAAGAATACCGTTTTACTCGCTCTATCTGCGTCCCATTAATGTATAGATGAGCCCCATTTATATTCTCCTTGCTGATAATCATTTGTTTCGTTTTGTGGGTATTAATGTTTAGTTCGTACTGTTGACTGTACTCGTTTATTCTGTCCATTAGCCTCTGAAGTCCCTCTAAACTATCTGCTATCACCATGGTGTCGTCGGCATATCTAACATTGTTTACTCTTTCACCATTTAGAAGGATGCCTTCGTCTATTCTGTAAAGAGCCTCGTTAAAAATTTTCTCTGAGTAAATATCATCGGCGATAGGATATATCCCTGTCTAATTCCACGTAGTATTTTATGTGATCTGTTTCTTCTCCGTTAATTTTCATGTATGCGGTCTGATTCCAGTAGAGTTCTGAAATTATTTTGAGGTCTTTGTCATCCAGGTCTGCCTCTTTTAAAATGTTTATCATCTTTTGATGTTGAACTCTGTCAAATGCCTTTTCATAGTCGATCAAGCACGCGTATACGTCGCAGTTAACATCCCTGCATCTTTGAATCAGTACCTGTACTCCGAATAGTGCCTCTCTGGTACCCACTGCGTTAATGAAGCCGAACTGTCTGTCCGATATTTGTTCCTCGCACTTCTTATAAATTCTTCCATGGATGACTCTAAGAAACAGTTTCAACATGTGGCTCATTGGGCTGATTCTTCGATATTCTTCGCACTTTTTAGCCCCTGTTTTTTAGGTATCGCTATGAATTCTGATTCTAGTCATTTATCAGGGATGATTCCTGTATTGTATATTTTCTTGAAGACAGCCGTGATCCAAATTATTCCTTCTTCCTCCAAGAGTTATAAAAATTTAGCTTCGATATTATCAGGTCCTACAGCTTTCCTGCCTTTCATCCGTTTTATTGCTTCTTCTACCTCGGATTTAAGTATGTCCGGGCCCGTTATCTCATGATTAATTTTTCATTGTTGTCTATGAGTTTCATCTGTGTTCGCTTTTTAAAAGTACAGGTTATTTCTGTTACCTTTTTGTGTACATTAAAATTGTCATGCTTGGCTTGTAGTCTTTCTCTTTCTTTACATTTCTCTACAGCTTCTTTTTCTTTAGCTTCTCTTATTTTTCTTCTGATGTGCGCCTGCATTTTTTTATACTCATCTTTATTTCCTTTAATTAACCTTCCGCGTTCCATTAAATGAAAGATTTCTGGAGTCATCCAAGATTTCTTCTTTGTTTCTTTGTTTGGTTTTAGCAGATCTTGTTTAGTTTTCTTAATTATTTCTTCGAATTGATTGATTTCTCGTTGGATGTTATTTTCTTCTTTTAGTTGTTTAACTTCGTTGGTAATATATTCCCCCACTTGCTTTTTAACTTCCGGATGTTGCAGGGCTGTCATGTCGTAGTTAGGTCTAGACTTTTTCTTTATTGTCTTCAGTCTCACATCCATGACTCCCACTAAAGGTATGTGGTCAGATTCAATGTCCGCTCCTGGATATGTTTTGACAGATTTTGACAGCGAGTTTGACTTCGGCTTTTCTTCTATCGTTTCCAGTACTCTTACTTACTTTACATCTGTGAACAGGAACCATTTAGCTACGTATCTGGACACTTTTAAGGCTTCTTTCAAGCATTTGTTTTGGGCTGCTTGTAACTTTTTTTGTTGCATGTATATCCATATGCAAAAAAGGAATACTTCATTATGGATTTTATGATACTGTTCACTGGTGTTCACTGCTAATTGACTTCTTTTTCCTATAAGTCCTCTGATTGCGGCTCTGACGATGTCTGTTTTTTGACTGCCGCATTAACGTGTGGTGTAAACATTAAACGTTGATCCATCGTTACTTTTTAATATTTACCTTCATTTTCCTATTCGATGGGCTATCGAATTCTCACTTAAATAAATATAAATTCTTCTCTGAATTTATGGCTATTTTCCATTGTATAATCCGCTGCAGTGTAGTCTCCGTAAGGGCTGAGTAGTGTTCGGAGAATTATTGGAGCGTCTGTTGTGTATATACTATACAAAAGGGATGGTTAGACCACCTATTCTGGTACTTTAGCCTCTGTTCAAAAAGCGCTTATCCTATCTGGAACCTGAACCTCCTGTCGCCTAAGTACTAGGTAATGAGTCTCGTCATGGCCCCACTGTATTCATATTCTATAATTTTGAATGCTAATCCCTTATGCTAATATATATATATATATATATATATATATATATATATATATATATATATATATATATATATATATAAATAATAATGAGATGGAACATCGAAAATCCGAGTTATGAAGAAGTAGTTCAGATAATAAATAAACTAAAAAACAATAAAGCACCAGGAACGGACGGAATTTCGGCAGAATTATTAAAGCATGGAGGATCCGAACTTTGGGAAAGAATCCATTACCTAATAACATTAATATGGACGAAGGAGCATATGCCAGAGGAATGGACAGTTGGCCTCATACAGCCAATATATAAAAAAGGAGATAAGAGGGAATGCCAGAATTATAGGCCAATTACATTGCTAAATGTAATATATAAAATTCTTTCTGGTATAATCTACAATAGATTATTAGAATACTCCGAAAATATAATTGGTGATTATCAAAATGGATTCAGAATAAATAGAGCCACTACAGATAACATATTCATACTAAGAACGGTACAAGAAAAAGCTTATAAATACGACATAGACATACGACATAATATGTATATAGACTTTAAACAAGCTTTTGATAGTGTGAAAAGAGACAGAATGCTGGAAGACCTTTGTAATATAGGTATACCTAAAAAATACATCAGCCTCATAAAAATGACGTTGCAGGGTTCAAAAGCCGCAGTCAGAGTAGATGGAGAACTGACTCCCCTGTTTAACATCAACATGGGAGTAAGACAGGGAGATGCCCTATCAACCATGCTATTCAACCTAGTTCTTGAGGCAGTCACCAGAAAAACCAATATAACCGGCCATATAAACACCAAATTAGTACAAATTACTGCATATGCAGAGATGTAGCCATCATTAGTAGGAATAAGCCACGACTAATGAAAGTGTTTAAACAAATTGATCCTGAAGCAAGAAAAAGAGGTCTCAAAATAAACGAAGCAAAAACGAAGTATATGACAGTTAAAAGAATAACTGACAATGAAAATAATATCACAATAGATAACTATACTATCGAACGAGTGGATGCTTTACATATCTCGGCACAGAAATCAATCAGAAGAACTCCGTAAGTAGCGAAATTAATGCACGTATTTCCAGCGGGAATCGTACATACTATGCTAATAAAAGATTGATGACATCGAAATTATTAGACAAAAGAACCAAAATGACTATCTACAGAACACTGATTAGACCCGTAGTATCCTATGGATGTGAAACTTGGGTAATGACGAAAAAAGATGAAGCCCAACTCAGGACATTCGAAAGAAAAATACTGAGGAAAATATATGGCCCGGTACAAGAGGAAGATGGCACATGGAGAATCAGGAGAAACGACGAGGTTAATGAGTTAAATGAAGGTTATGACATTGTAAGATTTGTGAAAAGTCAAAGACTGTCATGACTGGGACATGTGCAGAGACAAAACGATGCAAAAACAACAAAGAAAATGTTACAATGGAAGCCCATAGGAAGGCGAAAAAAAGAAAGGCCCAGAACGAGATGGTTGGATGACGTGGAAGACGACCTGAAAACAATGAACATAAGACAATGGAGAAGAAGGGCATAAGAGAGATCTGAATGGAAGGACATAGCCAGACAGGCAAAGACCCATCCAGGGTTATGATGCCAAAAGAAGAAAAAAAAGAATCCCTTATGCTACACATTGTCGAAGGCTTTGCTTACATTCAGAAAAGCTGCTCCTGTATATTAATTGTCATTAAATCTATCTGTTAGTCAGAGTACTTGTAATTTGCAAAAATATTAAGCACTGAAGTCGACATGTTCTTCAGGGTTATTCCTAGTCTATGTGTTTCTATTTAAAGCCTGAATTGGATGACTCTCCCTACTATCTTGCTAATTGCCGGAAGTAAGCTAATCGGCGTGTAGTTTTACTCAAATACTTTATTAAAATAGGTTCTTTTTCAAGGCTTTGGTATTACGATTGCGTGTTGTTATATTTGATATATTTGCTAAATATACAATTGCTTTCGCTGGAAGATAATTCAAAAAACTGTTTGATACTTCATCTGGACCAAGTGCTTTTCTTGGTGAGCTTTTCCTGATCAACTTCACTCATCACTTATTTCTCTAAGTGATGAATAGATGATTATTTTATCTCGATCTTCAGGCACTTTTTATTCTTTTCTACGACTTCTTAGATAAAGTCTATATTTTTTTCTCGGTGTTACTTTTACTTTTTACTGTAGTGGGACTTTTAACTAAAGTACTGGTAACTATTATCGTAGCCAATATTAAGTTACTGGTGGGCATCCTGTAGAAAAACATATATACAAAAATAATAAGTGTTAATAGTATTAATTTTATAAGTATACAATATTTTATTTTATATATATGCAAAATTTATTAAATAATTATTCTTATAATATTTTAATAAATTTTTTTCTGTTTGTGTTTCCAGAGAATTCGGAATTTATCACTTACATCTCTGTGTATTCTATCTCATCATCCATTTTTTTCGATGTTTAGAGAATGTTTATTTATTCTTAAAAAGCTAATTGATGCATGCAACGAGTCTTCAAATCCAAGAAGAGTTGGTGGTTCGAAACAGCTATTTAGGTAAGTATTAATAAATAACTTTTTTATTTCTAAAGTTACTCCAAACAAATACGTCCTCTACAAAAATAATTCTTTATCCGCATGTAGTCTAGAGCTGCGGTAGGCGAAAAAACTAAGTACGCCGATATATTTGTTTATATTCTGTATATGTAGACATGATAATAAAAAGATAATAATTTGACAGTAGGAAAACAAGAAATAATAAATACAACCTAACTGCAAAAAATAGAGAACAATTAAACAATAGATTGACATTTCACTTAAAGACATTAAAATCACTTCAGAATATACAGGGTGGTCCTTAAGGAATTGTACAAAAAGAAACCGTAGATTCTACAATTTAAAATATGACGATTTAAGCCAAATTGCTTTAATAAAATGTTGATATTAAGAAAGATACAGGGTGTTAAAGTGAAAATTTAAAATTTTAATTTTTTCCATAACTTTCATGTTTGTGAACATTTATGTATCAAAATCTACAACTGGGTACTATTGAACATCAAAAATTATAATTTGATGCATACTTTAATGTAGCTGATAGAGGGCGCCACATATGTGGCATATATTTGTTCTTAAATTTTTGCTCTTTAAGTTACCGATGTTTGTGACAAAAAATATTAAAGATACATTATTTTAACAAAACAATGGTACACTTGTTAATAACTTCAAAACTCAACTGAATGATTGGATGTTACATCAAAAATTTTACGTTTTGTATTAAATTAAAGTCATAATCAAAATATTTTATTTATAAACCAAATTAAGAACTAGTTAACTTTTTGTCAAAGTAAGTGTTCGATATGTCCACCATTTTCTTTAATTCATTTATCAATACATTCCATAAAAGATATGCTCATATTTAATAGCATCATTTGTTCTAAAGAAACTGCTGCAGTATTTTTTATAAGTAATATAAGTACTCTATTGGAATTTTTGACGAATTAAATAATTATATTAATATCTCGCATGACCAAGGAATATGACTACCACCAACAATCCAACGTTCAGGAAAGTTGTATTTAAGTATGTTCTCACTGCCCTCTTTCTATAATGTGGTAAGGTACCATCTTACATAAACCACATATTTCGCCTTAAGTTTGATGACAATTCTTCCAATAAATCAATAAAATCATGTTATAAAAAATGTAAATAAATCTCACTATTCAAATTAAAAGGTAATTCGCATGTCGGTAAAAATAATTACCAATGGTTCCAAACCATACATTTATTTAAAATTCATGTTTAAAATGCATATCATATGGTTTGTTACCATTTGTAATTATTAACTACTACCATGACCCAATCACGTGACAACGTTGGAAAGGATGATTAGTTTTACTTTGGATCCTCTGGGTAATACGTCATTTTAGAGGCGATTGCTGTGGTGAATATGTCTATTTTAAGGAGTAAAGTTAAGCGCCTTTCTGCCTTTTGTCCATGCTTTCTTAATAAGTAATCAAAGGCAATATTATTCTTAATAGTAAAATGAGATGATGTTAACAGCAAGACCTATAAAGGAAGTTCTGTACTAGATCTAATATATGAGAGACTGACTAATCTAATTAAGAGAAAAATTAGCAAATATAAAGGTCTCATAGTTAAAGAGTATCAGGCAGTTTCAGAAGAGACCAATCTGCAACAAAACAGATCTTTACAGTTACACGAGACAACATGTGTTTTATCTTATGGAAGATTATTTTTTATTCTGTCTTTGTGTTATTAACTATTCTTACTTTAGCAGGATAGTAAATTAAATTCAATCATCGATGTAAATGGTATATTTTTATTTTTAAATTACGATTGTACCCTTTTGGTTTAAATAATGTAAAATAGCAAATTTGTATATCAGAATCAGCATAAATGATCACTCTATACCGCATTTAATTTAGATACAATGTAATCAGATTGAACTATGAACTATTTGATGTCTTTTTTAATAAATAAAATCTCAAGCAAAGATTATAATTTGTTTTTTATTACGGTTTAAAATATAGCTGTTCCTTTTAGGGATAACGTTTGGAGCGTATTAACAGGTCATGCAACCGATACCACTTCATCCATTGTAATTCATGACGTAAAAGAAATTGAAACGTGGATACTCAAATTACTTTCTTCTCCAGTGCCAATACCAGGAAAAACAAAGTAAGTTTTTAAATAGTAAATTTCCTGCAAGTTTTTAGTTTTTTTTAAGGAAAGTACTAAGTAAAGTGAAATCTTTTAAAGGACTTTCAGTCATCGATGTAAATTATATTAAAAATGTTGCGTATAATTGCAATGAAAGTATATTTGACCATGACGACATATTCTAAGTTCAACCAATTGAAAATTTGTCAGTGGAACGCACGTTCTGCTGTATTCAATAAACATAGCATAGCAGAAATATCAGAATATAAAGTTGATACTGCTTTAATACCAGAAACACGGTTTAACCCAAAAGTAACTTATGAATTTTATGGATATTGTATTGTGCAAAATAATTGGATAGATGGTATGTCGGATGTCGCTATTCTTATAAAAAATAATATCAACTTCCAAAGATATTTTTCTTAATATTGTAGCAGATGGTATGCAAGTCTGTGTAGAAGAAATTTTTGTTTCTAATAATTTTTGTTTTTAATAAAATCAATGGTACATCAACAATAAGAGAAGAGTTTAGTGCGTATTATGACCTATAGGGACCCAAAACTCTTCTATTGATTTATCACAAGTATCTCTAAACTCGCGGATAAAACAAATACTTTTGGATGGGATCATTTTCTCTTTTTTATGAAACCTAATATATTGAGGAAATAGTGGGTATACCCCCTTTCAATCTTCTTTATTTGCTATCAATAAATATGCATAAGGTATATAAAATTATTAAGTCTATTAAAATGTGTAATTTAAACCTTCTGTGAAGGTGTTAAGCTCGTTAATTATGTTCTCCAAATATTTAACCTTTTTATCTATACTTTCCGTGGCCTACTTTTTCTGTCTTTGAGTCACCTTGAATGACCTGAAAGGTGCGAAAAGTAATCTTGGTGCTTTTTTAATCGTAGTGCTCCTTTTAATTATCAGAATAGTAGTGTAGTTAGTTTAATTAGAATCGGTTAAGTTAGGTGAACGTTATCTCACATTTGATGCTGGCTGGATAGGCACTTAATTCCGACTATTAAAAAAGTCTGCAAATTAATTTTTTATGATACTGAATACACTTTTTTGAGATTTTTTTGCAGAATCTTCATCTGTTTCTTTTTAATGTTTCAAAGGTGTCCTTAGCTCCAACTTCAGTAGTTCGAGGGTGGGATTTAGATTAGATTAAAAGAGGTGGCATTTCGGCCTATTCCACTGCGACCTTTTCAAATCTATTGTGGTCCTCTTGTCCTAGATAACATTCTCTAGCCTAACCCTTTTAATAAAGTCCAGTAGCTTTGCGACTGTACCTTCCATGTAGCTATTTGCCAGTGGATTTTCTTCTTCTAATGCAACGAACCGCATATTTGCCAGACTATCACACTGACATAAAATGTGCTCTGCTGGTTCTTCTTCAAGGTGACAGAATCTGCACACGTCATCATCTGATAATTCCATCAGCTTCAAGTGTCTATTCAGCTTACAGGACCCTGTTAGAAGACCCACTATGGCTTTGACTTTTTCTGTCTTTGCTTATTAGGTCTGCTGTAAATTTTGGCGAATGTTCTGTAATGAACTGTTTCGCCTGTCTTTGTCCTGGTGAATTTCTCCACCATTCCAGAGATTTGTGAACTACCCACTTCCTTGTAGCCGTTCTTGTTACTGACTTTGCAACGCCGCAGAAGGGTTCCGATCCAATGAATGGCATTGATAAACCTTGTTTGGTCATTTCATCTGCCTGGCCCTTATGACCCTCGCGCCCCGGTACTCAGGCTACCGTAACTTTGCTACGGTCTCCTAGTTTATTTAGGGCACACACGCAATCCCATACTAGCTTAGAATTGACCTCTACAGAATTGAGTGTCTTAGCGCTGCCTGACTATCTATGAAGATGGCAACTGAACAAAACGTTCTTTCCTGCCTTTCTATTTCTTCCACGCAGTGATAGATTGCAGTTGGGTTGATTGGTCGAGGGTGGGAGGTCGTCAGTCAATAGATTTTTAAAAAATCATTAACATTTATTTTTTAGTTTTTTATCCGATGTAAATTTCATGAAATATTTTGCCGTCATGGTTCTTTTAGAACACGGCGGTAAATCGCTGATATAAACTTTTCACTGTTTACATTAGAAGAGATTTATGTTTGACACAAATTATATGACATGCAAGTGCCATATGTAATATTTGTACCTTAAAAGCTACAGTATGTTGAAAGTTTTTTTGTAAAGATAGTTAGTATTAATTTATTGTATATATCTAATATTAAAAAAAAAATAGTGTGCATAAAGTTTTATACACATTAAATTTTTGTTGTAGTTATGCGATTTGTTTTTGAAATATTAATAATTCTGCATTTTTCTTTTAGAGTTGAACTTGAAGTATTATCTCCAACCGTATACGACCCGCTTGTTTTTGCCTTACCGAACCATACTAGATTTAGTTTAGTGGATTTTCCTTTACATTTGCCCTTAGAATTATTAGGTAAGTTTATGTATAGTACACAACGCTTTTGTTAATAAGAAAATATATAAAAAAATAATAATAAATCGTAATTTTTAACTACGATGACGAAATATATAAAAAATTTAAGTTGTCTATTTTATTGACATTATGTAATCAGCAATTTTCTATTTTATACATGTTATTATTTACTGTAGTCTTCTGTCCAATAACAACCACTATATCTTATTTGAAAGCTCGTTTCAAGTATTTCAATTACCTCTACATATTTATCAATTTTGTAACTTTCAAATGGCCCATCAGAAACAATGGCTGCCAATGGGTAATAATAAAACTAAAAACTTTCTTTTAGAGTGAATTTTTAGGCGTCATCTAGCTCAGTCTATAAGCTGTGAAGCGTTTTAACTTAGAAGTAAATCACACATTTTTAGAAAGACCAATACAAACATACATTAATAACACCCGTGGACAAAGATCTATGATAGATTATGCTATAACCAACAGAGATATACATCCATCAAAAATATTCGACGTAAGATGGCTCAACTCAGCAGATGTAGGTAGCGACCATAGCATAGTATTATGTAAAATAAGAATAATCCTGAAATACTTCCCACCCAAGAAAACGGCGTCAATAAACAAAAATCGCTGGGAATGAAATATTTCTTCTTCTTCTTTCAGTACCCTGTTCTATTATCGAACGTTGGCGATCATATTGGCAATAATAACTTTGTTTACGGCGGCTCTAAATAAATTAGCGGTGATCTCTTGATACCATTCTCAAAGATTTCAGAGCCAGGATGTTCTTCGTCGGTCTGGACCTCTTCTTCTGGCGATCTTATTCTGTATTATGAGATGTAGAAGGTTATACCCATCGAGCAAAAAGACAAAAGAGGGAATGTAAAGGTAGTGGGGACAAAAATATTGTTAGACAGGAAGTCCTATCTTGAGAGGCCACTTTAAACAAGGAAAGACAGTCTCTTTCCTTGTTTAAGAAATCAAATTTAGTTTGGTTATGTTATTGTTTGTCTCAACTGTCACATTAAATTTTATTTATATTGAAGTTTTTTACCAACTGTGTCCCTTTTTAGACTATTATCGTTAATATTTAATTAAAACTTTCTCGTCTGAAAAATATTTTATAGCTATTGTTAATAAGTGTCGGAAAATTTAAATTTAGCGCCTTTGCATTTCCGGATGTGTCCGCCATCAGAGGCCACTTTTTTGGTCTCCTTTTCATAACGATTAGATTCTCTCTTTTGTCTTTTTGCTCGATGGTTATACCTCTCTGGATGTTACATTACATGACCGAAATACTGTAACTTTTGAATTTTTATCGTTTTTGTTATTTCAAAGGCCTCTAATTTTTTCATTAATGTCTCTGTAAGGATCCAGCTCTCCATATTTCTTTTATTTATAAAAGGCGGCTCTAGCTTTTTCAATGCGTATTCTAATTTCTTTATGTATAATAAACAGAGAAGCAAAAAATTATAATGAGATGGAAACAATATTTCGAAGAAAATCTAAATGCAGAAAACGAAAATGATCAGAACGAGACAATATATTATACGGCGGAGCTGCACATAGAAAAAAATCCGAGTTATCAAGAAGTAGTTCAGAAAATAAATAAACTAAAAAACAATAAAGCACCAGGAACGGACGGAATTTCGGCAGAATTATTAAAGCATGGAGGATCCAAACTCTGGGAAAGAATCCATTACCTAATAACATTAATATGAACGAAGGAGCAAATGCCAGAGGAATGGACAGTTGGCCTCATACAGCCAATTTAAAAAAAATAGATAAGAGGGAATGCCAGAATTATAGGCCAATTACACTGCTAAATGTAATATACAAAATTCTTTATGGTATAATCTACAATAGATTATTAGAATACTCCGAAAATATAATTGGTGATTATCAAAATGGATTCAGACCAAATAGAGCCACTACAGATAACATATTTATACTAAGAACGATACAAGAAAAAGCTTATAAACACGAACGACATAGACCTATATAATATATATATATATATATATATATATATATATATATATATATATATATATATATATATATATATATAGACTTTAAACAAGCTTTTGATAGTGTGAAAAGAGACAGAATGCTTTGACCTTTGTAATCTAGGTATACCTAAGAAATACATCAGCCTCATAAAAATGACGTTGCAGGGTTCAAAAGCCGCAGTCAGAGTAGATGGAGAACTGACTCCCCTGTTTAACATCAACATGGGAGTAAGACAGGGAGATCCCCTATCAACCATGCTATTCAACCTAGTTCTTGAGGCAGTCATCAGAAAAACAAATATAACCGGCCATATAAACACCAAATCAGTACAAATTACTGCATATGCAGACGATGTAGCCATCATTAGTAGGAATAAGCCACGACTAATGGAAGTGTTCAAACAAATTGACCCTGAAGCAAGAAAAAGAGGTCTCAAAATAAACGAAGCAAAAATAAAGTATATGACAGTCAAAAGAATAACTGACAATGAAAATAATATCACAATAGACAACTATACTATCGAACGAGTGGATCCCTTTACATATCTCGGCACAGAAATCAATTAGAAGAACTCCGTAAGTAGCGAAATTAATGCACGTATTTCCAGCGAGAATCATACATACTCTGCTAATAAAAGATTGATGACATCGAAATTATTAGACAAAAGAACCAAAATGAGTATCTACAGAACACTGATTGGACCCGTAGTAACCTATGGATATGAAACTTGGGTAATGAGGAAAAAAGATGAAGCCCAACTCAGGACATTCGAGAGAAAAATACTGAGGAAAGTATATGGCCCGGTACAAGAGGAAGATGGCACATGGAGAATCAGGAGAAACGACGAGGTTAATGAGTTAAATGAAAGTTATGACATTGTAAGATTTGTGAAAAGTCAAAGTCATTTCTAGTAGGTAATTAAAATAAACTTTTTTTCGTAATGAGGCAAAGTCACACATATATTAAATATTTATTTAATAATATAATAATATAATAATAATAATTATTTAAAGAAAAATAACTAACATGTGACGTTTATAAACGTTACAATTTTATCCCAAAAACGTGATAATACTAATTTCAAGTATTGTCATTAGTTAAACAATTTTCACAATATATTTTCTGAATGATAAATCTTCAGTTAATGGTTTGTTCATAATTGAAATAAAGTATCTGTTAAAAGGTTTTAATGGAATTCGGTGACCTAATGCAGGCCATTCACGTTCCGACTTGTGGTACGACTAGTGGTCCAACTTTTGCAGTTGGATCTGAAATCGGACCGTGAATGGGCTAGTTGGATTAGTTGGACAACTAGTGATACGACTAGTGGGACGACTTGAAGATCCGACTTCCAAATGGCAACGAAGTCGCAGCGTGAATGGTGAAGTTGGAAGTCGGATCACAGGTTGGATAGAAAATTTTCTCAGTCAGTTGACCTTCGGCACCTGTTACGTATTAGATTTCCATGAAATACTTTACGCAAAGATCTCTAGTTCCCGAATATTTAATAGAAAATAAACTTTCAATTGCACGAAAATTACCTTTTTGTTAGGGCAAATCATTTTTCTTTCTGTAGATCTATTTCGGACATTCCCATACAGGTAAATTTCCGATACTCCGGATTGGCTACGGAAGAATTATCAACAAACAATGAAAATTAAATATAGTTGTAGCAAAAGATCCCCAGTTCGCAAAAAAATAATAGAAAATAACTTTCAATTGCACGAAAAATTATTCCTATTAAAAATATACGACACACACACAACAAAATAAATCTCAACTCCAGTTTAAAACAAATAAAATATAGATTTTATATCTACACAAATCTTTAAAAACTATAATTTTTTTTTACATCTTAAAAAGTCATAAAAATCAAGGGTTGAAAAAATTAATTAGTTCAGCCCTAGACAAATATCTAGAGAAACCAAACCTAATTTTTAAACATACATATCATAACATACATATAAGGATAATAAGCACAATGCTGCCATTTTCTTCCTCCTAATTACATTTTGCGTAGTCTTTATTTGAAACATTTTTTAGTTAAGCGTTGTACACCATCGTGAAAACAACCTATAACTGAAGTTGGACCGCTAGTTGGATAGGAAGTTGGAGCGTGAGTGGAGACGAACATCCAACTAGTAGTCCTACTAAGTGGGACCACAAGTCGGAACGTGAATGGCCTGTCTAATCAATAAAATGGCGGAGAAAAAGCAGACATCCACCATTTTTGTTGATATTTTGTAAGAAATTCAGAAAATAATAATGCAGTCATTGTTTATTCATCTTGACTCATGTTTATCCCTAAGTTACGTAGCCATGATATATTTTTCTTCTTCCTATGTCTTTCCTTGGATCCTCTCTACCAGAGAATGACCTGAATTCTCTCTCCTGTTGCCGACTAGAATGTAGCTTCGCCTATTTTTTAAATAATTTTAAACTGTTTGTCCTTGTTTAGTGTAGTGTTATGTAGAATTTTATGTTTATGACATTCTTTGATTGTTGGATAGGCCAAAATTGACGAAATACCCCTGAAGAAGCTCTAGGAAGCGAAAGTACTTAAGCAAGATTTAATTAATAAAACTGTGCTTGATATCTGCTTTCATTTAATAAAAGTTCATTTATTAGAGCATTCAACCTTATATTAATATAAATATTTGTTTTTAATAATAATGTTTGTATTTGTTTGTTAATAAATATTTAATTTTTTCAGGTGTGGAGACTTGTTTAAAAGTACTGACCATAATCCTCTTGGAGAACAAAGTGGTTTTTCAATCTAGAGATTACAATGCTCTGTCAATGTCTGTGATGGCTTTTGTAACGATGATATATCCCCTTGAATATATGTTTCCTGTAATACCGTTATTACCGACGTGTATGAGTTGTGCGGAACAGGTAATTACTTCATTATTAAATACTTTAACAAATAATTGTTTAAATTCATTGATAAATAAAATAAATCAATTAAAATATAAAACTATTCAATTTAA